TGTGTCATGCACATCCAAACGTAATCCTAGTTGATATTCCCTCTGTATCATTAGCTGGCGTGACCCTTAGGGAAACCCAGGCAGCACATGGGTCAGATGACTTGCCCAGGGTCACCCACTATTGAGTGACAGCAGGGCCTGGACCTCCCCATTCTGCTTGTCCCAAGTCCATGTGACAGCCACATCAGTCCCCAATCTCTGCTGAGTTCCTGGACCATTCTTCTGCAGGCCCATTGCTAAGAATCATAAGAAACATCTCAGACACTGCACGTATGCCTCTCCTTGCTGGTATCCCTAACTCTGTTCTTCCCTTTCCTCCTCCCCTGGAGTTTTCTAGTACACATCCAGCCAACATGAGAGTCTCTCCTGCCAACCGGCATTCAGAAAGAAGCTCCCAAAGCCAAAGTGCCATGAAAGGTACAGTGGCTTTCTCCTTGGGTATTATTTCCAAAACCTTAGACTCTTGGGTTTGCTTGAATGGAATTTGCTTTACCCTTGGGTTCTAGCTTGGGACATGGCACCAACCAGTGTTTTTTTTTTTTTTTTTTTTTGTGGAAATGGGGATTGCACTCAGGCCCTTGCGCTTGCCAGGCAAGCACTTACTCTACTGAGCCATCTCCCCAGCCCTTCTTCCTTATTCTGTGACTGTCGCTATATCCTATAGACAGTGCTATTGTGGCACATGATCTGCATGTCTTTTTAACCCATTAAACTGTGAGGTCCTTGAAGATAGTCCATTTCTAGCACCAAGTAAGGGCCTAGTACACAGTAGATGCTCAGAAAAGCCTGGATGGTTGGATGGATCACTAAATGGACAGTCATTGTTTGAAGGTATGTATTGAACTAAAAAGCTAGTGAAATCATATGCACTTATCAAAGCTACATCTGCTAGTGTCTTAGAATAATCTGATTGTACCTATGCACTTTCAGAATGTTTTCTAGCAATGTGTGATAGAACGGTCATGCTTGGAATGCCTGTCATTCTGGCCTTCTACATATGTACTTCTTGTCATGACATACCAATTATTACCATGCTTTCTCTCAAGTAAAAGTTGTTTTTGTTTTTGTTTTTTTTTAACTGGGGATTGAACTCAGGCCCTTGCACTTGCCAGGGAAGCGCTTATTCCACTGAGGTATCTCCCCGGCCCCTCTTTTTTTTTTTATTAAAAAAAAGGGTAATAAATGAAAAAAATACACAAGAAAAAAAAAAGTCACAGGACTGTCCTGATACAATGCTGTATATGGTTAGATTTCTAAATTTCTGTGTAAAAATATGTAATTGTTTATTCATATTCTTTAAATATTTTTCATT